CCCCGGGCCGGGTCCCGGAGCTCCTCTGCGGAGGTGGGCTCCTCGTGTCGTTCTTCCTAGCAGTGCAGAGAGGAATGGGGGTGAAACGGAGCGCTGGTTTTGTAGATAGCAGGACTTTGTTCCTATTTTTTGGTGCCTGTCCTGGTGCGTCAGGACGGAGTTCTAGGTTTGTTTTGTAAAAGCAGAAATTCCAGGAAACTAAATAACTTTGTGGGTTTCTGTGGCCTTAAAAATATTCCAGCTGTTAAAATCGGTGAATTTTTGAACAAATATTTACAGCAACATTAGGAATAAGTTCTGTCGTAACAGCCAAGCTGGAGTTCTGTTAGGGTTTAAAGTGGAAAGTTGAACAGATAAGGACTTCTCTCAGAGCTTCGCTTATGTGAGATGCCAAAACGTGATTTTATTCTCCATAGATTGTGAAGGGTTTGTTAATTTGTGGCATACTTTCTTCCACAAGTGAGCTTCAGTGTTGACAGTTTGTTATGCTTCAGCATTAACTTTGGCATAGTTAGCTGTCTGGTACCTCATCCATTTAAAGAATAATTGTGATGAGAGGGACAATTTTTTTAAAAAAAAGTAAGGAAAATACAGAAGAAAGTACTGATATACTGCTCAGCTTGCTATGTATTTAACTAGATTCCAATTCATGAATTCTTAATTTTTATTTATGGTGTTGTATTGTTACGTTGGACTTCTCATCTACATTTTGTCCTCAGCCATACTTAGAATCATGTTTAGGAACAATATGAAACTTGATTGTTTAAGCTGGGTCAAAATGTCATTACTAGAATTTGAGTTGGCTCTATACATGTCTATATACAAATCCTCTTGTAATTTTTGTCCACATATGAATTCAAATGTGCAATCTTTCTACAAAGTTGATTTAAAAATAGATATTTTTTTTCCCCCTAAGGTATGATTTTTGTTTTTATGACATGGCTCTTTTGTTTTCCATTTAAGTGGCAGAGGTATGGATTTTGCATTTGTTTCCCAAGTAACCAAGTTGTTGGCATTCAGATTTTTACGACTAGGTTTATTTTCAACTAAGAAGTTTCATGCTTTAAAATATGTATCTGTATTGAAGTCAGTGTGTTTGGAACCTCATAATCCTTTTCATGAACACGACTTAAAATCAATAAGTGAATGACCTGTAGTAGTGTTGCAGTCAGTGTGATGCTCAAACATGTTGGGGAACAAAAGGGTGAAGTTGAACTGCTTGAACCATACTGTGTGCTTATCAAGGTCTGTAGTTAGAGGTCAGTGGGACTTGTATTTGTTGTTTAGAAGTGTCTGACTAAGGTGACACTAAGGTGTCTGAGATTTCAGAAACATGCTAGTACTTCTAGGTATCTGTGACTCAATACTTCTTTGGGTTTCCCTTTGCTGTCAGATTTTTACATCTAAGTTCAGAAGAGTAAAATGCTTACAAAACCTCTGCTATGGTATTGGAATACTAAGTAGTGTTTAATGTTAAAGCAATACCATGCTGTGCTGAAACATGCATATGTGGATTTTCAGTGGGAGTGTTCACAGTGAGTGATAGTTAAGGTTGTAAATGTTTGTCTTTCGAAGTTAAGTCCTTTGAGTAAGTGCTTTATGTTTTGTTAATATCAGTTCTATTGATTCTAAATATGATATTTGGACAGCAGTGGTGTTTTGAAAAAAAAAAATCCATTCCTTAGCTTCTTAGATATTCTAATTGAAATCTGTAGTAGGCCATGATTTTCAAAACTTATTGAAAAAAAATTAAAAACCCCTACAGATTTAAATCCACAATGAGATAGCTGCTCCCTGATCTGCTAGTTCCTGGAGAGCAATTTAAGATTGAATTTATTCACCAACTTGTCCAAGGGAAACAGTGAAAGTCAGAGTTACTATCACAGGCCTTCCTCTCCCAACAGGCTGAGGATATTTCTGACAGCTACAGTTTAGTTCATGTTGTTTCTGATCTTGTCCTTTCTTCAGAGTTCTTCACTTTGATTTAAGATGGAGTTCTCGGAAGAAATGAGTGCAGCAGGAATTTCTTTGGTTCTTGTATTTAAAAAGTCGTTCACCTGCCATAAGATTCCATCCATATGTATTTTACTGCTAATTTGCATTAATAGGAGAACTGTGGAAGTAGATGCTTCTGAGGTAATTTTTGTTGTTGCTGCTCTTTGCAGTGCTGTCTAGAATAGTCACGTTTATTTGGCTAGGTTGGGATGGATAAGTCCTTGGAATAGATGAGATGCCCTGGTGAGACATTTACTTTCATTGCTGTGTACCTATGGAAATGGTGGTGGTTTTGTTTTAACTTGATTTCAGGAAAAGCATTGTGTGTCAGCACCAGTTACTTAGACCCATAATGTACTTTAAGTGAGGTAATACTCCACGTTTTAGGGACAGCTGGGATTTTTCTGTTTTCAGTTGGTTATGGTATAGCACTGGGTGTCCCAGAGGGCAGTGTGAGCAGTTCCTGTGGTCTTCCTGACTGGAGCTTTGTTGACCTGTTGCAGGCATTGCTGGACCTTTTCTTATGTTCTATTTGGAATAATGAAGGGTTTTTAGGGGAAGTAAAGTGTTCCTCAGATTGCAGGAGAGCCTGTACAGGCCTTATACAAGCTCTGGGGTCACAAGGCACTTTTTTTTTCTGTATCCCTTGGGTATAGAATGAATGTGGGGATGTCTGGAATGGTTGAATGCAGATACCATTACAGCACTTGCATTCTGAACTCAGAGTAGGTTTGTCTGAATGTTTATCTGTGATGTTTAAAAGCTCAGAAGTGCTGCTGGCAAGTGTTGTTTAGTTAATGGAAAAGGGAATGGAGCTTTATGAGCTCGGAATAGTTTTCCTTTTCAAAGGTGTTTCGGGGGGTATGTGTACAATCTCATTATGTTTTGTTGCCTAAATTTAGGTAGCGTTTCTTCCAAAGCAAATTATGCATTTGCATCAAATTTCCCAGTCAAGTTCTGTGATGAATGAATAATGAATGATCTAGATAAAATCGTAATTACTTGTCATTTAGAAAACGTCATCTTTCTTTATGCTTAGGTAGGTTTTTTGTTAGCATGTGCTCGCTTCATATAGTACTTCTCAAAATGGTGTTTTTCAGACTGCGCGTCTTGTAGTTGCAAGTGTTTTCATGTAGGTTTTTTTGGGTGATGATTTTTGTGCAGTTTCTGCCAGTTTCATCTTCAGCCAGCCTCATGTCTTGTCTCCCCTTTAACGCACCAGTCACTATACATTAAATTCAGAAGCACCTATGAGACAGGAGGTAGAGCTGTAGGGTTGTTCATCCATTCCCCGAGTGAGAAAATGTTTTTAAACCAGCTAGAGGTATCCAGCATTCAGTTAAATGTGGTGATGTCTTTCAGAACAAGCTTGGGCTACAAATGCTTATGTAATCTACGTTGACCTATGGCTCCCTTTGTAGTCTGCCATTTGACTGATTTCTGAATGTGTATTTCAGGAGTTGATGTCTATGTCACTGTCTTAAACACTGTATTTAATGTTGTTTTGGAAAGTTCTTTCTCTGGGTCAATTATGACAAATGGGTATTTAATCTTGTGGCAGATGGATATTGGCCATGTTATGGCCAATAAAATGATGGAGATTTTTGTGTGTTTTTGGACGTGAAGGAATTTCTTCTGCTTTGATTTCTCTCCTCCATCTCCAATACAAGGTCAATTTATAAATTAGGATTGGCTGTTCCTTCCTCCAGAAGTTACAACTCTCCACAGCAATCACAGTCTGTCAGGTCGGAAACTAGGGGCATGGCAGTGTTTTGAGACAGATTTTTTTTCTAGTTTGAACTGTTAATATTTCTAGTAGACTTTTATCAGTGATGAAAATTGACACCTGGCTTAAACAGAACCTAGAGTGATAGTTCTCTTCATTAAATGATGCCTTAACAAGTCACTCAGTACTGTAGGGGTGATCTCACTTTTGAGAATGGGAAGATAAATCTTCTGGCAGCTGCTGTATTGCAAGTAAACGTTGATAAACCTGAAGTAATTGCTCCAGTGCTCCCTCCTGTGATCATTCTTCCCTCTTACTAGAGTCACTGACTTCTTGGAAACTTTGAACAAGTAGTGATGCGGCGACCTGCTCTGTTTCACAGCTAACACTCTTGATGCTTCTTCCACTGCCAGCAGCTGCTCAGTGCCACTGCCTTCTGCCTCTTTGGCAGTGTAAAGCTAATATGATTCTTGGCGCTTTCACTGCTGTCTGGAGGGTGTTAAACTGGAATGATGACACTGATCATAATCTTGCTGCCCTAGCTTTGTTGTTTCTTGAGTAAAACCTTAAGCAACAGCAAAAGACTAACTTGGGTCCACTCATGGAATCGAGGTAGAGTTTTAAAAAAAGCTTCAGTACCGAACACACTTGTGGTTAGGTGTGCGTACTTCCTGTTGTAGTTAGGGTTGTCATACACCAGTTAAGACTTGTGTTCAGAGTGTGCACATGTTCTTTATTCTTCAGGCAAAGGAGCAAAAAGAAACTTCCAACTTTGAAAGTGAAGTTCAGCAGTATTCTGTCTCAGTCTTCTCTTGCTCACTCCTTGTTGCTGACTATTTACTTGCCTCTTGCAAATGACTTGTAGTCATTGATTTAGATTATTTCGATGAATATACCCAAACTGTGCAGGATTTCTTGCTCATTTTTCTGCCTTTTTTTTTTGTGTGTGTGTTTTTTTTGTCATTGTAACCTCTGCCTTAGACTAAGCCATGACTTCAGGATCTGGGCATGTGGACTCCAAGGCTGAGCTCACTGCTTTGCTTGAGCAGTGGGAGAAAGAACATGGCAGCGGGCAAGACATGGTCCCTATTCTCACCAGGTAAGATTTATTAAATAAATTCCTAACTCTGAATATCTGGAGTTAGTTGACAGCAGCTTTTACCATGTTTTTGCTTGAGGTTTGAACTGTAAGTGTGGTATTTAAATACACATGATTTTTGTAAGAAATTTATATTGCAAAGATCTCATGCAGGTTGTCTCTAAAACATGAATTCTCTGAAATAATAGAAGTCAGGGGAATCATTAAATAGTTGAAATAAGTTTGGTATCTTCACTTTAAACTTGTGAAATGTTGATCAAGGTCAAAAGCTATGGGAATATTGTTCCATCAGAGTGGTGGTGTGGGGTTTACGATTGCAGTAACATTGGTCAGGTTAAATGAAAGGATGAGAGTGACTCCTTAGATGAATCAGGGGGATTACATCAGGAAGGTTTTATTGAAGCTCATAGGGCATGTTTAAAGTGCAATTTTAAAACTGGATTTTTTTTTTTTCTGTAAACTGGATATTGATTGACTGTCATTATGTTATTTGTGTGAGGAAAATATTACCTGGACAAATACAATATTTGTAGGACGTGTGTAGGTACTCGTAACACCATTAATTGTAAGACATCTTCTATTACAGGAAAAACAGTTGAATTCTCAGTTGCATTTGTGGTTTCCTGAGACAGGCCTCAGGTAAACTGGTATTACTCTTGCTTTAACAGGAGATTTACAGAAATTCCACCCAATTCCTCCTTGCGCCTCTGCTGGCAGACCTGTGGCCTGCCTTGTGTATGCAGAAGGACTTAGCTGCACTTGTAGGCTAAGAGCAGTCGAGGTTTCTGTGCCGCGGTGCTCTGTGTTGTTAGGTCAGGCAAGTTGGTACACAGATTCTGAGCTGGCACTGGGTGGAAGTAACATGAATCTGATGGAGCTTCTTTGCACAGATCAGTGCCATGCCTCACCTAACGGGCAGAATTTTTTCGCTGTTGGTACTACGTTTTAAAAATAGCAGCACAGAAGAGTGAGATGAGCAGCAGAAAGCAAATCCTAAATACTTGAAAATGAGTAGGTCTCTTGAAAATCGTGAGGTGTGTTTTGGTGTATCCTTGTGTATTGTCTGATTTGTGTCTTGAAGGAAACGTGCTATTTCAAGGCTTTTTCTTGCAGGCATGAACAGCAGAAATTTACTATATTATAAGAAATTTAAAGACATTTGAGTTAAACAAGTCTTTTTCTTGTGTTTATGGCAGTCTGGCACTCCTTGCTCCCTCTCATCTTCTTGGTTCCCTGCATTATTTATGCCCAGACAAGTCTGATAACTCATTCAGTTCTCCGAGGTTTCTGTGCAGCGAGCAGAGTGGTTATGGATGGTGAAAGCTTGGATATATTTGCTTTAGTGGAGATAATACAGATTTATTTAAGGTAGATCGCAAGGGGATCTACTGGTTCTGGCAAAAGCTGGATTTACAGTGCTTCGGGTATCAATGAAAACCGTGTCTCTTTGAAGTAGAGGGTTTTAGATACAGCACAGGTTTAAAAGAATTTGCTGGAAGAGATTCACCGACTGGAGCTTGCATTAGCTGCTGTCCTGAGTCAGGGTTATGCCCTTGAATATTGTTTTAGACTTAGGCAGAGGAAGCTGTGGTCATGCTTGTTGGTGAGTGATGTTTTTCTACTTCTCTCCGCCTTCTGAGCTAAAGGGAAGAAAACGTCCCTGTGTGGATGAGGGTCTGTTAAATGTGATGCCAAGGCAGCATATGTGAGAGTGCAGTAGTGAGTGTTTCAACAGTAATAGGACAAGAACAGCAACAGTGTGGCTTACAGGTCACTTCCAAGTAAGCTAGTTTTCTGGATTTATGAACTGTGGAGTGTCAGAAGGTATGAATTGAAGAGATTCCTTGAAAAGTGTGTCAGCAAACAACAGATATTTAATATATGTGGTTTTCAAAAATACTGTAAATGGAAATGATCCTGCAAGAGCATTAGTTCATAGCTTGGATGCAAGTCGTGTTCAACCGTTCTGGCAAATCCTGGGAGACAGATCCTTCACTGCGTCCAAAGAGCCCCTTTCACAAAGGGAATAAATCAGCAGCTTGACATCATACATCATCTCCACATACCAAGTCTGTTGTGATATGGGATCCCAGGGCGTCTTACACTGTTGCAATCTGTTGTAAAGGCTCAGGTTGGTCATTAATGCCAGATGATGGCATAGAGCAGTATTAGGATGGGTTTATATTATCCTATCTAGATCATTTAGAATCTTGCAAAGTTGACATACCTTTGTGTGTACCACTGCCCCTTCCTTTCCCACCCCCAAGGTGAGCTCAGTTTGTGGCAAGTGAAAATGAGGATCTGAGTAACTTTCCAAAGACAGTTCAAAAGAGGAAAAAAAAAAACTAGACGTGAGGGAAAAGAACCTTACCCCCATATAGAACCTACATCTTGTCTGCAAGCTCTGAAGCAGCTAGAGAACTGATATAATGCCAAGTGAGTAAAGGAAATCTTGAAATCTGAATAAAAGTTCAGTGTTTTTGTGAATTGTTTTTTGTTGAAG